CAGCATGGGCAGCTATTGCAAAGGACCCTGGTTCGGTTCCCAACATCTACATGGAGGCTGAGAACCAGATCTAACTCGAATTCTGGGGGATTTAAGGCCCTCTTCCGGCCTCCGTGGCACTGCATGCACATGGTATACACACACACACACACACACACAAATACACACATATACAGGCAAAAAATTCATTACATAAAAATAGATGACTCTCTTATTTTTAAAAAAAAGCTATCGTTAGGGTCATTGTGAGCTATGTAAATGTAGCTATGCAGTAAAAGCCCTTATCTTGGAACACATCTCAGAGAAAGCTAGGATGAGAACTTTCCTTTTGAGTTGTGCCACAGGGCAAAGATCCTTTATCTGCCAATTAAAATGAGATATTCTACCAAACCCAATCCCAAAGCAATAATATAATATCACAGAGGTTCAGAAAATCAGATGTTGGGTAGGGATGGTGCTCAGTTATTTGGTATTTATCTAGCTTGTATGTTCAAGGTCCCCACCACTGTCTCCTCTCCCCCAAATGATAATTTGAAATGACAGCTGATTGGAAAAACACATACGAACACATATAATGAACAAAAGTTGCAGAGCAACTAGAATCTGACAAATGACTGGAAATTTGGATTTGCCGATTATTTAGAATGACACTGACAGCGATGTCAAGGGCTACTGTTGTAGCTGCTTCTCTCACCTCCAGGATCTTATGAATGCCTGACAAGTTTAATATGTCATCCAGCACCATGCTGGCCAGAGAAAACTACTTTCCTCATTTCCCCAAGAATTAAAATGAGTGTATTGCCCTGGCTTCTACTTCACAGGTTAGAGAACCAGTCTGCTCAAGGATTAACAGCACCTGAAATTAAAGGGTTTTCTACTACTTCTTTCTTCAATCATTAGGCTATTTCTTAGAGATATGAACATACGTAAATGATCAATTTTACCTTTTACTTTCCACAGGAGAGTTTTGGCATTCCTTACACATTTTTAAAAATTATTTTTATGTGTATGTGTGTATTGCCTGCATGTAGGTAAGTGCACCCATGTTGTGCAATGCCTATGGAGGGCAGAAGAGGCTGTCGGATCCCCTGGAACTGGAGTTACGGACAGTTGTTAGCTGCCATGTGGGTGCTGGGATTCAAACATGGGTCTTTTGCAAGAACAGCCAATGTTCTTAACTGCTGAGCCATCTCTCCAGCCCCTCCTTACATACTTTAAAAAAATGGTTTATTGAAGCATAATTTAGATGTCATAGAATTCACTTATTTAAAGTATATAGTTCTAAGCCAAGCCTGGTGATACATGCCTGCAAACTCATCACTCAGGAGGGTGAGGCAGGAGGATTGCACATTTGGCAACTTGAGCTAATACTAAAACCCTATCTCAAAAGAAATAAATAAGTAATATAGTTCTTTATGTTTTAGTGTGATCATTATCAAAATCCAGCTGTAGAATAATTCCAACATGTATTTTTGTGTTTGACTCAGCCCCATATTTAAAGAATTTATTGTACCATAAGCCTGTGCATTTAAACTATCTAGATCTAGGACCTACCCTTAGGCATTCACTTTCAATAAGTCAAGCTTTCAAGAAAACCTAAACTTACACTCTTTTTTTCCCAATGTTTACATTTTTATTTATTATTTTTATTTTATGTGTAGAAGTGCTTTGCCTGCATGCACTCATGTCATGTAATGCCCACGGAGGACAGAGAGGGCGTTGGGTCCCCTGGAACTGGAGTTAATGGACAATTGTTAGATGCCATGTGGGTGCTGGGATTCGAACCCAGATCCTCTGCAAGAATGATCAGTGTTCTTTACCACTGGGCCCTCTCTCCTGTTCCCCAAACTCATATTCTTTAAAAAAATTTTTTTTTTATTTTTATGTGTATGCATGTATTGCCTGCTTGTATGTAAGTGCACCTGTGTTGTGCAAGGCCCTCGGAGGACAGAAGAGGCTGTCAGATCCCCTGGAACTGGAGTTATGGACAGTTGTTAGCTGCCATGTGGGTGCTGGGATTCCAACCCAGATCTTCTGCAAAAACAGCCAGTGTTCTTAACCGCTGTGCCATCTCTCCAGCCCAAACTCATATTCTTAACCTTACTCAAAATAGAGAGGTCTGTAAAGCTCATTCTCTGAGGTCCTCTGAGGTCTATCCAGGGGTCTGGGCTAAGAATATATGAAAAATAGGGGCTGGAGAGATGGCTCAGTGGTTAAGTGCACTGACTGCTCTTGCAGAAGACCCAGGTTCGATTCCCAGCACCCACATGGCAGCTATGAACCGTCCTTAACTCCAGCTCCAGGGGAATCCAAAGTCCTCTTCTGACTTCCGCAGCATTGTGTGACATGGGTGCACTCACATACATACAGGCAATACACTCATACACATAAAATAAAAAAAATAAAAATATTTAAAAAGACTATATGAAAAATATATACAAATTAAGAAGTCAAATTAATACACAAATATGTAATACATTTTAAAATATATATATATCACATAATTCATTATTGTTTCTGACAACAGGTTATATTTAACTTTTTACATTTATTTACTCTGTATGTGTGTATATGGGGGTATGTGTAGAGGTCAGAGGACAACTTATGGGAATTGATTCTCTCCTTCCACCACGTGGGTTCTGGGGATTGAATTCTGGTTTCCAGGCTTGGCAGCAAGCACCCTTACCCACTCAGCAATCTTGTCAGCCCACGATTAATTTTCAAAGTGCCTACATTTATGATCATCTATCATCCAATGTCAAACATGTTTTTTTCCCACACACTTTTAAGAATTTTTTAAGTTATATTTATTTATTATATGTGGGTATGACTGCCTGTGTGCCATAGCGCATGTGTGGAGGTAAGAGGATAACTTGCAGGAATCAGTTCTCTCCTTCCACCATGTGGGTCCTGGGGATGGAACTCAGGCTGTCAGGCTTTGTGGCAAGTGCCTTTAACCAGCTGAAAAATCTCACCTGCCCATTCCCTACTCTAATTAACATGATCTGGGGACTAAACATCCCATATCTTAATTTTGTAGAAAGTTTCCCTTTTCTGTAATTTTTTTGTGTAATTTTTTTGTGTACGTTTTGTGTAATTTTTTTGTGTGAGGTTGACCTGACATAGTGGCTTGGTACTTGCAAAAGTTTCTTCTGAAGTGTCGTATTAGAGGCCTTGACTTTGTCTTGTTTCAAAATCATATTATGTAAAAAAGAACCACCATACCCTTCTTCCTACAAAACTAATATTTGTAGTTTCCATCTCCCTATACAGCATATGGTGGTTTGAATGAAAAATGTTCCCAGTATGTTCCAAGTATTTGAACACTTTGTCCTCAGTTGTTGGGAGATGTTTTGGGAGGTTTAGGAGAGTCAGTCTTGCTGGAAGAAATATGCCACTGGGGGTGAGCTTTGAACATTCACACCCTTGCCCCACTTTGTTTTTCTCTCTTCCCTCCCCCTCCCCTCCCCTCCTCACTCTCTCGCATTCCTGTGAGTTCTAGATGTTATAAACTCTCAGCTGTCTGCTTCAGTTACCCCCTGCCATGCCTCCCCCTCCATGATGGACTCTTCTCTCTCTGGAACCAAAAGCCCAATAAAATCTTCCTTCTATAAGTAGCCTTGGTCATGGTGTTTTATCACAGCAACAGAAAAGTAACTAATATATAGCATCTATTAAACATGTACACAAAGATCTATGAATTACAAGAATTACAATCTGGGAATAAAGAAAACGTTCCACCTCTGTCTCATCTCACTGTATGTATTTCAGTGAAGTTGTATGCATACTGAATGTACTTGGAAATGCCAGACACATCTTTCTCCAGCTCCCCAGAGTTTACTGCTGACTCCATTCATCTTGACATTTAAATTTATTTTATATGTATTTAAGCATTCTGTATGTGCTAGTTCAGTCTCTTCCATTCAGTAAGTCCCTTGGTTAGAACAGTTGTTTTAAATTTGTGTCAAATGAACTTTCGGTTTCTCAAGCTCCTGCTCCATGCAGGGCACAAAAAGGCTATTTAGTAAGTGCGGCTTCACTCACAACATGACACCTCAGTTTGTCTCCCCTCGTCTGGACTCTCATAACAGTAACATTTATCATACAGTCCAGACTTCTTAGACATTGCAGCTTTTCTGTCCTCCTGTCTCCATAGCAGGTGCATGTGCCACTCCGTATGTCTGAGACATATGGTCCTCAATTACTGAAATACGAAGCCATCTCCATTGCAACCAATCTCTGAAATCCATTTCTCCCCTTCTGTTCGCTAATAGGATTGATTACAATTTCTAAAGACCTATTTTTAGTTGTGTGTGTGTGGTGTCCTTGGAGGCCATAAGAGGGCATCAGATCCCCTGGAGCTGCAGTTACAGGAGATTGTGAGCTGCCTGGCAAGAGTGCTAGGACCCAAACTCCAGTCCCCTGCAAGAAGTCCTTTTCTCTTAACCACTGAGGCACCTCTCCAGCCCGGGTTACCTCCGAGCCTGGGACTTATATCTGCACCTGTCCTCAGGCCGGCCTCTTTTGACGCTGGGTGACCTGGAGCGGGTAAGGTTGTCCTGGGTCCTAAGAAGACTGTGCCAGCCCTCTTACAATTCCAATTGACTCCGGCAGCTTTGGGGGCGCCCCCACTACCTGCTCTGACCGCTACCCCTCGGCAAGCCTAGAATAGCCCCGGACAGATTATCTCCCCGCGAGGTCCAGGTTGCCTTTTCCCAGGAAGCCAGCGGGCCTCAGGCCGTCCTCCAGCGGCCTCGGCCACGCCCCTCCGGCCGGCCCCGGGCTTGCCACGCCCCCTCACGGTTGATTTTAGCGCGCGCCAGGCCTGAGGACGACTGTGATTGGTTGGAGAAAAGCAAATCTCCCGTACGATTGGTTCTTCACAGCCAAGGCAGGGCTCGGCGCTGAGCGGGGTGTTGGGAGGGGGCGGAGACTTCACAAGGTGAGTGCTGATTGGCTCCCAAGAGGGGCGGGGTTAAAGGCGGAAGCTGGAGGGCGGGGCTTCCTGACAGCGTGATGGAAATAGTTAGGTGTCCGCAGCACGGTAAGGCCGGTCCTAACCGTTCCCGCAGAGCGCCTATGGGGCGGGCCTGCAGTCATTGTTGCTGACTTCTTGTCTCCTCAGGGACCGTCTGCTTCTTAAAGACCGGCCTCCGCGATGGCCCGAACAAGGGAAAGAGCTTCTACGTGTGTCGGGCGAACACGTGCGGCTTCGTGCGCGCCACCGAGTAGGTTTCTGGCCCGGCGCCTTCCGGGACACTGAACCGGTTCATTGGGTGACCGAAGCCGGCTGCTTTACCTCTCTGGCCGCGAATCCTTCTGGACGCTTCCAGCTCTAGGTTTCTCGTCATGTGTCTGGCCTTAGCTATTCCCTTCTGCTTCATACCCCTCACGCTCACCCTTAAAAAGTGCAGAGGAGCAGGAGCGAAGCCGTTTGCTCGCTTTGCACTATGTCGGACTAGCTTGAAAAAAAAATGAGGTTAAAACATTGGTGGCAAGGTACCAGCTTTTTTTCTCTGAATCTAAGATTGACAAATCCAAAGACGTCCGAACTTTAGGGATTGGCGCTCAGGTTTTACCGACCCCAAGGCTGAGACGAAGAAAGTGAGAATAGTTACATTGTTGTTTTAGAATATCGGTTGTCTACATTCCATAAGTGAATTTAAAACTATTGTATCGGCAGGTGTGGTGGAGCAGCCTTTAATCCTAGCACTTGGGAGATAGAGGCAGGCGGATCTCAGGCCAGCCTGGTGGGCCACATAGCAAGTTCCAGACCAGTTGGGCCTACAGGGAGACTGTCTCAAAACAAAACCTATTGTATCATTTAACATTTCCTCTTGCTCTCTCTCTATTCAGACAAACTTTTTAGAGCTGTTACTTTTATTTTTCAGTATTGTAAAATATATAAAGAAAATTAGTACTAGGAAATAAAGTGTCCTTTCAGTGTTTACTAAGTCTCATGATTCCCTTACATGAGTTGTATGATTTTTGTGACTTTTTGGCATCAGGATCTACAATTTATTTCTGATTTCTAAATATATTGGGACTCAGATTCTCAGATTCGGTACCCAGTTCTGACTTTGTGAGAAACGAGCATGCTCGTGTTTACAGGGATTGTGCTTCGATAGTGCTATGAAAGTTAGTCTACGAACCGTCCTTAAGGGACGAATCCAAAGCCCTCTTCTGACCTCCGCGGTATTGCATGACACGGGTGCACTCACACTCATAAAGTAAAAATAATAAATAAAATATTAAAAAGTTCTACATTAAGAGAAACATTCTTACACAGTGCCACCTACACAAGTGTGCTGCAATACAGACTAGTACAGTAGCACTTGACATTTGGAATGTGTCTCATGAGCAGACTGCAGGCAGAAAACTTCTGAAATTCATAAAAGAGTGCTTTAAACCTTCATATAAACTTGTTCCCGCTCAGTGTTGTGTGTCTTTGTTTTTTGTTTTTTGGGTTTTTTTTGAGCTGAGGACCCAATCCAGGGCCTTGCACTTGTGCAAGTGCTCTACCACTGAGCCAAATCCCCAACCCTGTGTATTTTTTATAAGTTGGGAGGGAATCATTTAAAAATTTATGCCAAGCAAGAATCGTGTTAGTGAATTTAGTGTTAGAGGTAGGTATGTCAGTAACAGCTGACAGGGTGTTAAAGGATAAAGGGTAGTGGAAGAACCTGAGGAAAATTCACAGAGGGCCTGCCTCATAGCCAGCCTTCAAGTCATTCCCGAGGGTACCACAATGTAGAGGTCATAGGACAGCAATTTTAGACTCCCTTATGAAGAAAAAGATGTATTGTGGGAGTGGGAGAAGATAGAGACACTATTGGTTCTTTCCTCTGGAAAGAAAGTACATGGTAACAGTGTTTGGGTTTTACAAACCCCAGGACAAGACCTGCATAGATCCTTCATGTAAAGTCTGTAGTTTGGCTGGGTGTGGTGGCACTCACTTCTAAACCTAGCATAAGAATCAGAGGCAGGAAGATCGCTGCAACGTCCAGGCCAACCAGGGCTACATAGCAGCCTTGTCTCCAAATAAATAAATGAAAGTAAGAATTTATAGTTTGGATTGGACTTTAGGGTGCTGACCTCTATTCCTTGTACCCTAACCCTAAAACTGAATTCTTTTTTTTCTTCTAGCATTCCTATTTCTCATTGTTTATTACATGAGGATTTTGTGGTAGAGTGTCAGGGTTTGCTTCTACCACAAGGCAAGAAAGAATGGAGGTACGTGTCTATAAGAAGCATCTAGATGTATTCCCTTTTTTTTTCCCCTCCTGAAAGAGTTGTAGTTAGATATATTGTCATCACTAAAAACAATCAGTATTTCTGTATGTACTGAGCATCATCTAGGCTGTCACTCCCTAAATGCTAAGTAACTACTAGTCTGAGAAGCCTAACTTGTAGTGTGTTCAGGGTTATATAGACTATGGTGACTGTTAATATTGTCTGAAATTGGTCCATTTTGTTTGGGTCAGTAATTTAATATTGCTAAGTCAAATTCCATTTAGGAATGTGTGTAATTTACATAGATACAAATATTTGTTTTATACACATATTTGCCATCAGAAAAATCTTCATGAATAAAGTATGTTTCAGTCTTTTGTCCATTTTTTAATTGAAATTTTTATTGATTAATTTTAGAGTCCATATGCAGTTTTAAGAAATAATGCAGTTTTAAGAAATAATCTTTGCCCTGTTCCCCAGTAGTGACATTTATAGAACAGCCTGGATATTGACATTGATCCAATGCATTGATCTTATTGGCAAAGATAAGGTTTTACTTGGACTATTATGTATGTATGTATATATGTATTTGTTTTATATAAGTTTATACATGTGTAATTTCACATATCCACCACCACAGTCTCACTTGTAAACATTCCATCTCCCCAGGATTCCTTCTGCTTCCCTTATATAACCATAGCCCCTTCCTCATCCGGGGCAATCAGGAATCTGTTCTCCATTTCTAAATTTTTGTCTTTTCAGAACTGTTAATGATAATGATGGATGAAAGCATGCAGTGTAACTTTAGGGATTTTTTTTTTTTTTTGCCTATTTGAAAAAACTTTATTATTTATCTCATCATTGTTGAGTTGGAAGAGTTCTTTGTATATTCTTACATTGGTTCTTTAGCTATTTAGGTGGTGAATATTTTATCATACTCTTTGACTTAGTTGTATTTGAAGAGCAGAAGTTAAAAGTTTCACTTTGTTTTTGGTGGAGAATGCAAGCAACAATTTTTTAAATTTTATGAAGTATAATTAGCCATTTCTAAAAATAGCTTGTGCGTTTTGATTTCTTTCTGAGAATTCTTTGCTTCTTTCAAGATTATAAATCTCTCCAGTACATCTTCTAGGAGCATTATAAGTTTTTTTGGTTTGTTTATTTAAAACAGCCTTTTCATTTCAATCCGTGATCCACCTCAGTTTTGTATAAGGTGAGATACAAGTTCATTTATATTTCCTCATTGTGTCCAATTATTTTATTACCATGTTTTAAAGCCTTGCCCTATCAAAATGCTTGGCATCTTTGTTTTTTGTTTTATTAAGAAATTTTTTTTTTTAAATTTACTATTTTTATTTTGTATGTATGAGTGTATTACCTGCATACATGTAAGTGCACCCATGTTGTGCAATGCCTGCAGAGGTCAGAAGAGGGCATTGGATCTCCTGGAACTGGAGTTATGATCAGTTGTTAGCCGCCATGTGGGTGCTGAGAATTGAACCCAGGTCCTCTGTAAGAGCAGCCAGTGCTCTTAACCTCTGAGCCATCTCTCCAGCCCCTTGGCATCTTTCTTTTTTTTAAAAAAAAAAAAAAAAAAAGTTCACCCCAAGACTAAAACCCCAAGTTTTAGTCTATTTCTGAGGTTGTTGGTTTGTTCCATCGGGCCATTTGTGTATTTTTACGTGATTAATGAGGTAAAACATTGTCTTCAAACTTCTTCCAGATTATACTGGCTATTTTGAGATCTTTGTATATAAAAATGTAGATTGATATTCTTAAATTTCTTCAGAAAATTCTAGTTTACACAGATCAGTTTTGAGAGACCAGATATCAGTGTTGTTTTCCAGTTTATGAGTGTTGTGTATTTTGGTATAAATTTAAATTGTTCTTAGTGTTTTTGTACTCCTTTTATTACATTTATTCCTCTGGTTATATTTTTAATGCTGTTGTAAATGTAATTTTTTTTGCTCCATGTGTATGAGAGTGTGATATGTGTATATGTGTGTTTGCTTCTGTGTGGGTGCATTGGGCGGGGGGATGTACGTGTGTGTGTGTGTGTGTGTGTGTGTATGAAGCCAGAGGCTTCCTGAAGCAGGGACCTGTAACTCAGGAGTTCTGCTAGTCTAGCTAGACAGTTCATCCTGGGGATCCAGTCTCTGCCTCCTGAGTGCTGAGATTATAGGTGGCCATCAAGCCCAGCTGACTTTTATGTGGGTTCTAAAGATCAGAGCTTCAGTCTTCACACTTACACAGCAGGCACTTTATCCACTGGGCCGTCTTCCCAGTCTATAAATAGAATTTAAAAAATTTTTCTGCTAGTAGAGTGGGGCTGGCAGATCTTTATTAAGTGCCAGTCTGGTTGTACTCTTGACACTTAAAACCATTTACCTACTATAGGACTATCTGTGATATAGAACCTATCACTGTAGGTGTAGAAAGCAGCTCAAGGATTTCTGCTGCATGTAAAGAACCATGGCTATTATTCAGAAGTGAAGATAATAGAGGAAAAAGGCAGCTGAAATAATAGCAACTGTGGCATGCCTACTACATGCACCCTTTTTTCCCCCTTATCTTCCGTATCCATCTGTTGTGATTGTTTTCAATAGTTCTCTTTTACAGATAGATGAAAAAGAGTGCCATTAGCAAGGTTAGGAAAAGAATCTGAGTTCCCATGCTTGTGAAGTGGTATTGCTGGGATTCAAACCTAGCTCCAGTTGATTCCAAATGCACCCTCTTTCTCTAAATGAGAGACATGGATCCAGTGGTGGTGAGCTGAGTGCAGTTATGCTGGAGAAAACTGCTTAAAGAAAATTGGAATGATAAAACATATTTCCTCACATTTCAGTGTGTTCCTTCCTCAAGTTTCTCCCCTGGACTAGTCATCACAGTGGCCTTGAACTTTTCTGGTTGTGAAGATTCAGGTGTATGATTCACTCAGTCTAGTGTTTGACATATTGCCAGTACTCCATAAATAGCTATAAGAGGAGGTTTCTGGAAGATGAGTTTATGTTAAGCAAGCCAAAAAAGGAAAGGTAATGTCAGTAGAGGGTTTGAGTGTGTCTGTGGACCAATGTGCCCTGTGTTTGAAAAGAGGGCTAGGCCGAAGGCTGTCCTGAGAACTTGTCATTAGTATTCCTATATATACTAGGTAGATAAGGCTGAGAGGTAGTCATTATGTTGAACAGGAAAAAAAGTATATGAAATGTATTTCCTTTAATCAAATCTAGAACACTATTTCTGGGAGGTACTTACTACTAGAGCTTTAAAAAAAGGCATTTAGGGACAAATAAAATAGTTTCTCAATACCCAACAAATTAGAAGAACAAAAGATAGATACCTTGATAGGTAATACAAGCTGAGAATTTGAACAGATATAGATAAGCCCTTGGGTGATGCCTTCCTTAAGGGACATAAGGGTGTTTGGCTGGGACTTTTGTACTCTGGAGAATGATCTTGGGGAGTGCAGCCTTTTCTTCCTCCAAATTGGGTTTTCTCTTTGAGAACTTATTTCACACCCTGTAACTAACTTTGGCTTATCATTGCTAGGAGACAGATGAAGCAGAGTCAGAGTCAGGGTGCCAACCCTGGCTCCAGTTAATGTCTGTTTTCCGTGCCCCAAAGTATATTTGTATTTGCATGCTGTTATCCAGCTTAAATACTGGATGGTTCCGCTCACCAGTGTTTGATTGGCTCTTCATCCATGGATGTCTCTACAGGCAATTAAAAAAAACCTGAACTCCTCTCAGGAGAACCAGAGGGAAGAAACCTTAGCCTAACATGATGTGGTGTAATCAGTGTACCTAGTGTTATTGAACTCTTTGTCTTCTCTCTTCTCTACCTCCTCCTCCTCCTCCTCTTCCTACTCCCCCCTCCCTTCCCCACTGTTTCTGTCTCTTTCTGTCTCTGCTATTATTTTCAAGGGGGTGAGGTCAAAGTAGATGGAAATACTCCTTTGGTTATCAATGAACCAAGTTTAAATAACTTATGGTAGGATATTTAAAGACTTTAGTTTTTATGATACCTGAATCTTTGCGTGTCTATGAAACTTGTTAATGAGTAAAATTTACCTGCAGATTATCTAGCTCTAATATGTTAGGTGGGCTGATGATAAAGGCATGTGGGCATGAGCCAGACCCCCCAGCACCCAAAAAGGCCCTTCGGCTCCACCAACAATGACAAACCCCATTCAGTAAAGTCAGGTGTAGTAGTCAGTTGGTGTAGAGAATATCTTGTACTGTGCTGTACCATGAAAATAAACCTTGTATATAAAAAAATATTACGCATGCAGTGACATTGACTCAGTTCCCTTTTGACTTATTTTCCTTATACTTTTACTGTATGGAAATTTAATGTATCTAATCAAAACCACTAAATTCATCTCTCAGCTTTAGAGTTTTGTGTCATGTTTAGAAAAACCTTTTTACAAAAGCAGCTATTTTTCCTAGAACACCTAGAGTTTTAGTTTTTATATTTTTGTTCCATCTTGAATTTTAGTTTAAAAGAATAAAGTAGGAATTAACTTTATGTTTTCCCTGTGTTGGAGCACATAGAGATGAGGTGTCTTACCACGGAGGGCACTTTGGCACAGTTGAGATAAGGGCTGGACATGTCAGGATGGGAGAGCAGTCTGATATGCATGTTAGAGCACTGAGTTCACTGTTCAGATGCAAGAGAATTCTATAGCTAAAACAGCAAGGGACTAAGTATTTTACTGAGAAAGGAGAATAGTTGAGACTTGATCTTGGCCTTAAGATACCTAAAATTTTGATAGAAGAAAGGACAAAGGACTCGAGGCAGAACAGCAGCAGCAAAAGTGTGGGTAGGAGAAGAAGCAAGGTTGTTGGGAAGAATAAGCTCCTGTAGCTTTACACATGTCAGTGCATTTGATCGTCACAATGACCATATGGTGTCTGTACTGTTATTTTACTGCTTTCTGGAAAGGAAGCTGCCACAGGGGCATTCAGGTAAGCTGACTGTGAGGATGAGACTTGATGGTAGAGCACTTGGCTCATGCCACAAACAAAGAAACAAGGTGCCTGACAGTTCAGAGCTAAGTAGGAAAGGATTGGAATTCAAACCTCCATGGAGTTTCTGGAGCCTAAGAGAATCCCAGTGTTGAAGAAGTGAGCGAACCTGCCGTTGCAATGCTGGGCTGGACAGTTTACTATAATAGGAAGGAGCATTTGTCTTCTGGTAAAGAAGTGGGATTGAGCAGACAAGTTTCTAAGCTCTGCCCTGGACAATGATTAATTAACATATTAAAGAATTTATTCTCCTAAGAAGAATCAGTATGTACTATATCTGAATATATTTCTCACTGCCTTCTTTATGGATTTATAATTTAATAAACTTAATTTAACAAATAAGGACTTTTTATAAAAATAGAGAAGCTCATCTAGATTAATTAATCTGGATTAATCAAATCATTTGGTTTTACTTTGCTAGATTACTTTAAAACTGTAAGTAAAGCATTTTTGTACTCTGCCTAGCATACAATACATATTCAATATGTGTAGCTTTCTTTCGTTTTTTTCCTCAAATCTTGGCCTTTTTCTTAAAGTCTACATGAGGAGCTGAAGAGATGGCTCGGTGATTAAGAGCATTGGCTGTTCTTGTGTAGGACCTGGGTTTGGTTCTTAGCACCCACTTGGTGGCTCACAACTGTCTGTAATTCTGGTTCCAGGGGATCTGACACCCTTTTCTAGTCTCTTCAAGCATTGCACAACATAGACATACTTACATGCAAAAAAAACCCACTCCTACCCATTAATGAAAAAAATCAGTCAGTGAAAAGGGGTGGGAGCTGGAGAGATGGCTCAGCAGATAAGAGCACTGATTGCACTTGCAGGGACCAGGTTCTTCTATTCACAGCACCCACATGGTGGCTAACAACCGTCCATAACTTCAGTTCCAGGGGATCCAACGCCCCCTTCTAACCTCTGTTGGCATCACACGACATGGGTGCACTTAAATACATGCAGGCAATGCACTCATACACAAAAATAAAAATAATACATTTAAAATTTTTTTTTAAGTCTACATGACTTGGGCTTTAAAATATGTATTACTATGTCAGGCGGTGGCATGTGCCTTTAATCCCAGCACTCAGGAAGCAGAGGCAGGCAGTTCTCTGAAAGATGGAGGGCAGCCTGGTGTCATAGTGAGTTCTAGGCCAGCTAAGGCTACAAAAATACATATTTTTTTGTATAAAAAATATATATGTTACTGATGAAGTCTTTCAGTAAAGATTACATTGTCTGTTAGGAGTCTGATTAATAATACAGCATCTGTCAGTGGACAACACTGCAGTTACAAAAGAATATATACATGTACTTAGAGATGATCTTCAAGGCATACCTTTATTTTTTTAGTTTATTTTCTATTTATGTGTATGAGTGTATTGCCTGCATATGTGTAAGTGCACCTGTGTCATACAATGCCCATGGAGATCAGAAGAGGGTGTTGGATCCACTAGAGCTGGATGGAGTTAGAAACTAGTGTTACAAATGCCATGTGGGTGCTGGGGACTGAACTTGGGTCCTCTATAAGAGCAGCCAATGGTTTTAACTGTTGAGCCATCTCTCTAGCCCAGAGGCACATCTTAAGTTTAAAACAAAAGAAAACCAAAAAAGCTATTTGGCATAATATGAGAACCCATCATCTGAAGTACTTGTTGGGGCTGAAAGTGGTTTGGGTTTCACATTTTTTTCAGATGTTGGAATAGTTGCATGTTCTTAATGAGCTGTCTTGTGAATGGGACCCTAGCCTAAACATGAAGTTAATTTGCTTCATATACACCTTATACATATAACTTGAAAGTAATTTTTAATGTTATGCATGAAAAAAATCTTATGATACAAGATTTTCAGTTCACAGTATATATTGGTATTCAAGAAGATTTGGAATTTGGATCATTTTTTATTTTTGGATTAGGAATATATTTTACCTGTAGTATATGTACTATGCTACCCATTTGGGTGGAAGAAGAAGAAATTGAATAATATATTTATCTTTATTTGAATGTCCATGTAAAAATGTCTAGCACGGTAAATAGAGGTCACAGTAAGCTACCTGTTAGAGGGAAATGAATGGGCAGGTGGGGTCCAGAGGGCCCTTTCACTGCTTTATACTTTTTAGAGTATAATACCTGTTTAAATGAGTAAATGTGTATTATAACATGTATATTTAACTTATGATTAAAGGTTTTAGGCATAATTTTAGATAATGAGTTATTAGTTGTTTGTTTTATTCAGTAACCCTGAATCATGATGTACAAAGGCAGGGCATCACTGGGATAAACAGATGGTGTGCTGTAGTTCATTGGCTGAAGGAATCAGGTTGGTTGTGCTGTAGTGTAGTGTGAATACTCTGCTGACTCTGCCCCATACTCGGATTTTATCTGTTCCTCTGTTTATATTTCCTATAAATTGGAATTGGTTTGACCAGATTCAGGTTAGTTTTTCATTTGCTAGGGTTTTTGTTGTTTTGGCGGTGGGGGGGCAACATTTCTTTAAGTATTATGGTCTCTCTTCTGGCACAGAGTGTCTTGTTATCCTTTTTTTTTTCTGATTTTAGCAGCCATTGCTGATCACTTTCGCCATTTCATTTGTTCTTTATACAGAGTGAAGAGAACAACCTTGCTCACATGCTCTGGTTACTCTGTTACCATTATTTTTGACCTTCAGGAGTCTTTAGAAATGTCCTATGCAGACTGGGGGTGGCTCAGTGAGTAAACTGCTGGCTGCATGAACATGAGATCTGAGTTCCTCTCCATCATCCACATGGAGAATGGTGTGGTGAGCCTGGGCTATGTGAGACTGTCTCAAAAGTGTTTTTAGTTAGCTGGGCGTGGTGGTACACACCTGTAGTCCCAGCACTTGGGAGGCAGAGGCAGGCAGATCTCTCTGAGTTCAAGGCCAGTCTACATAGTGAGTTCCAGGACAGCTGGGGCTACAGGGACACCCTGCTTCAAAAAGACAAAAAAAAAAAAAAAAGTGTTTTTAAATCAGATAAAAAATAAAATCTTATTTTAAAACATTTTTTTAAAGCCTTAATTATGTGTATTTTATATTTCATTAGGTTGTTTTTCCGATGTGCTAGAAGTAAGGCAGAGGGGAAACACTGGTGTGGAAACATTCCATGGCAGGTACGAATTATTTACCTGTTTTCTTTAAAATATTTATTATTTCTATTTTATGTGTATGACTGTATTGCCTACATGTGTGTGAGTGTACCTGTGTTGTATAATCCCTGCAAAGTCAGAAGAGGGTGTTGAATCGCCTGGAACTAGAGTTATGGATGGTTGTTAGCCTCCATGTGGGTGCTGGGATCTGAACCCAGGTCCTCTGCAAGAGCAGCCAGTGCTCTTAACCACCAAGGCATCTCTCCAGCCTCTCACCTGTTTTCAAATCTGTTAAGACTGTCTAATGTGTGGTTTTGACAGAAAACACCTTCAAGTCCATATAAACTGGTTGGCTTTCATCAGACTGTCTTCTGAAAGAGCTTTCTTTAAGATAGACTTTTCACTTTTCAAAGACTATTAATTCAAAGAACTATTATATTCAAGGTTTAGTTGTTTGCCTCCTATTTTACTTAAATATTTTTCAGCATTATAAAAGCAGTCAGTAGTCTCCTATTTAGGAAAAAGAAAGACACACTTCATCATTTTTTATTTAAAGATTAATTTATTTTTATTTTATGTGTGCATGCCTGAGTTTATGTATATATATTCTACCTGTGCAGATTGCCTGTAGAGGCCAGAAAAGGGTGTCAGATCCCCTGGAGCTGGAGTTACAGGTGGTTGTTAGCTGCCGTGTAGGTGCTAGAAACTGAACCTGGGTCCTCTGAAAGAGCAACAAGTACTCTTAACCATTGAGCCATTGAGCCATTTCTCCAGGACCCCCCCCCCCTTTGTTTTGAGACAAGCTCTCAGTATGTAGCTCTGGCTGGGTAGGAACTCCCTATGTAGATGAGACTGACCTTGAACTCACAGAGATCTGCCAGCTTCTGCCTCTTGAGTGCTAGGATTAAAAGTATGCCCTACTGCTACTTGGGGACTGGAGAGATGGCTTAACTGTTAAGAGTACTGGCTGCTGTTCCAGAGGACCAGGGTTTGGTTCCCAGCACCCACATGGTGGCTAACAATCATTCCTAACTCCAGTTCCAGGGGATTGACACCCTCTTCTGGCCTCCATAGGCATTATATGCATGAGAACACTTATACATATATGGAGATAAAACATTTACACACATAAAATGAAAATAAAATTTAAAAGGTGTATGTTACCAAACCTGGCTTCCCATCTTTTTTGTTTTGAGACAGGATCTCACTATGTAGCCCTTGACTGGCCTGGAATTCACTGTGTAGACTAGCTTGGCCTTAAACTCACAGAAATCCACCTGCCTCTGTCCCTTGAGTGCTAGGATTAAATGTGTATACCACCATGCCTAGCAAAAAGCAAGTTTTCTTAACTGCTGAGCTACCTCTGTAACCCCTGTTCTCATCTTTTTCTAGATCAATGTTTACTTGACTTTGGTATATACTAAGTGTAACTCTTAAGGCCCTCCAATATTAAAAGTAGAAAAGTCTTTATATCCATTGTATGGGGACTAGGCCAAGAAGTGGTAACACTTGCAGAGAATAGTTTCCCTGAGAAATATACATTGTGGCTGTTGTGAAAGTCAGAGCAGTTTGGTTTCCTCTCCACTTTCCATTGAGTCCTAGAAAGGAATGATCAGGGACAAAAAAGGAGCGAAGCCCTGGAAGAAATTAATTATTTGTGAATTTGGCACCTCTTTTGAAACGCAGAAACAATACCAGGAATGGACTGTATTTAACTGTGTTTCAATTTCCTCTAAAAAGGAATTTTCAATACAAAGGTCGCCTTATTTTTTATTACAATTAATTATTTTCATTGTCTTTAGGATCCTAACTCTAAAGAACATTCTATAGCCAGTAAGTCCCAGCATGCATCTGAACCATTTCCTCGTCCTTCCAGCCAGCCAAAAAATCCTTTCAAGGTGCTTAACAAGAATCAAAAACCAGCTCTCTGGAAACAGTTTGTCAAAGGAGAAGATGAGGGAAAGACTGTTGATAAGAAGTCAAGGGAAAACAGAGACCAGTTGTTGGATCAAAAGAAAGAACAGAAGCCAGACTCTAATTACTGGACGGAGAAAGAACTCTCTTCTGACCCGGTAAAGAGACAATCTGGAGTTGAAGAGAGGCAGCAAGATGAGAAAACAGAGCTCCAGTGCAAAGCAAAGGACACTGCAGGAATTGCATCCAAACAGGACCGTGAGACTACACTGAGAGGAGCTTCTGTGTCTCCTCAGATGTCAGGCGATGGGAGTCTGGATGTCCGAAATGAGTCAGAACATTTTAGAGAACAGGAAACCCAGCTTTTGCCTCAGAATATTCCCAGTCAGAACCCATTAAGCCAGACTCAGAAAGGAAGACACCTCAGCAAGAAGCACCTCAAGAACTGGGAGACCAAAGAAACAAAGGCAACAGATGCTCCAAGTGTACAGGCCTCCCAGAAAAGGCTGCCTCAGGGGCATTTCCAAGCACCTTCTGAGACTGGTGGGCCTGCTCCCAGAGGACTGGTAGCATCTAGGCTTTGCTTGGGAGAGGAACACCGTGCTCCCTCCAGCAGTGATGACAGTGGGGAAGAGGATGATGTTTCCAGTGAGCCAGGGACCCCCCTTCTCTTTGACTTAAGTATGGATTCACAGAAGACAGCAAACCTTCAAATTCCTGATCAAAGCATACAAAAACAAATACCTGTTGCTTCAGGTGTTTCCAAGAAGGAATCATCTGACCCAGCAGCCCAGCGTGCGTACCTTACAACACAACTGAAACACAAGAAGGTAAGTCTTGACCTTTGTTTGTTTCCAAGGTAAGAATGTTGCTTCCTTTCGACAGCCAGGAGACCCTCAGAGTTCAGTGGGTTCGTGAGAAGGCTGTGTAGGTGGATGTTTAGTTTCTGCCTTTTCCTATGTTTATGTTTGGGCTTACTTAGTAAACTACCTGCATTTTTGTTTTGTTTTTCAATCTTGTGTTTTATATACATAATTAAAACACTGTAATTTCAGAATCATTTATTTATTTTTATTTTTTGTGTATGAGTATTTTGCCTGCATTTATGTAAGTAAATGTGTGCAGTGCCTTTGAAGAGGCCAGAAGAGGGTGTGAGATCCCCTGGAACTGGAGTTATGGACAGTTGTGAACTGCCATGTGGGTGCTAGGAACTGAATGTGGGTCTTCTGCTAGAGCCACCAACTGGGGACATAGTGTCCAAATACTTGGAGCCTATGGGGGACATTCTCATTCAAACCATCACATTTAAGGTATTTTAATCTGATGCTGTCCCTTTAACAACTTGAGAGGCCAGTTCCATTTGAAGAATTTGTTTCTCAGAGCACGTTGGCAGTGGTAAACATCCAGGCTCTTCCAGACAAGGGTGAGAAGTTGTTCAAGCAAATCCAGGTGTTGGAGGAAGCACTTGGTGCTCTCGCTCTCTCCTCAGAGGAAGGTAAGATGGGGTTTTGTCTCAGAACTCACAATTTTTGTAAACCTGAAAGAGGCATTTTGATAATGTGTTGATTTATTCCCATTTTGTTGTCTGTCTCTGAACTTTCTTCTATATGATATTATAATTTATAAAAACATTCTCCAGGCTGGGCGTGGTGGCACATGCCTTTAATCCCAGCACTTGAGAGGCAGAGGCAGGCAGATCTTTGTGAATTCGAGGCCAGCCTGGTCTACATTGTGAGTTCTAGGACAGCTGGGGCTACAGGGAGACCCTGTCTCAAAAAAAAAAAAAAAAAAAAAAAAAAAAAAAAAAAATCTCCTGATTCCTTTGGTCTGTGTTTAAGCACAAAGTACTGCATTCTTTTTTGTTTTGGTCTTTCTGAGACAGGGTCTCCCTGTAGCCCCAGAGATCCACCTGTCTCTGCCTCTGCCTATTGCCTGGCAAAGTACTGTGTTCTTTAGGACGCCTTTCCCAGCTTATTGGAATGGTAGTGATCCCACCCTCTCCTGACGACGTATTCCCTTTACTTGCTTTTCTAACTTTAGTCTATTCTTCCCTTGTGTGTTGAGCAGGAACTAAGGAGATATGTAGCACTCAAGTACCACAACAGCGTAACTTCGCTAAAACTGCTGCTGACCCTCCACACCTTGTGCCTCCCCAGCCCCTTCCCAGCCATCAAGTCCAGTCTGTGGGCTCTCTAGGACCAAAGGCAAGCCACCAGGGAACTACTGAAGGATCCAGTCAGTGCTTGGAAGGTAAGATCCAAGGACCTGACCCTGCTGTGAGGAGCTGCTCCATCAGTTAAATGCTGCCTAGCAGATTTCTTTGTGCCCATTAGAAGGGGAAGCCATTCTTGGGTTGAGAGCTGCACGTATGTTAGAGATCATGATTCTCAGCAGAGCTTTGCATAGTTCCCTTAGGTCTCTGTGAGACCAGGGACTGTTACTGTCTTTCTGTTTTTGTTTTTGTTTTTGTTTTGGTCTTTTTGAGACAGGGTCTCCCCGTAGCCCCAGCTGACCTGGAACTATGTAGACCAGGCTGGCCTTGAACTCACAGAGATCCACCTGCCTCTGCCTCCCAAGTGCTGGGATTAAAGGCGTGCGCTACCATGCCTGGTGACTGTTACTGTCATACCACTGTGTGCTCATCCATCAGCCCAACGGCTGGCACATAGGAGTCACCAGATAATGCTTGTACGTGAAAACTCTAGTTTACATCATTATAAGATAGGAGAGAACAGCTAACATTTTTATTCTTTCCTGTGTGAAGGTGGTGGTTGGGTGGATGGGGTGAAAGTTGAGGCAGAGCAGAAGAGTGACACAAGTGGAGACCAGTGACTTAGAGACCCACAGAAAGTCAAGTTTCTCCCATTTACATTTAGAGATGTAAAAAGTTGAAGAGCAGTATTGACAGGGAGTCAGATAGATGGGGTGTCATTTGAATTAAGGCCGTTCTAAAAGAGAATAGAGAAAACGCAGTTGTTCATATAGCAATTTTAGCTGCTCAGGGAGCCCCTTGGGAATGTTGCTTATGTTACAGCAATATTCCGTTACATAATGGTGACAGAGTCACCTTGGGCAACATCAGATTATGGCAGGTTATTGAGATAAAAAGTATGTGATTAGTCTTGGAAAGAATTTAATTTTAATTTCAGCTATTTAGTCTCCCTTTGTCTAGAAACTTTTCCTTAGAATGCTTTTTCCTTAAAGTTGCAAACAGCTGAAATGTCTGTAGTTACTAACTGGGTAATTCATCTGTGTAGGGAGTAGGTGAACAACACTGATACACAGCCAGCTCATGACCTACCCTCAGGGATCGTCTCTCTGCCTACTCAGACTTCAATAGATGACTTCTAGCACAGCTTTGCTTCTTTGAATCCAGGAACCTTTTCTTCCAAAAATACTGTATGGCATGACCTTTTTGTCCACTTCCTTTTCAAACCTGAAAAATAAGTTATCATAAAGAAGATTTGGCTGTATGTTTAGAGCCATGGTAAAGTGCTTGCCGATCATGTTTAAAGCCTTGAGTTCAATCTTCAACTCTTGAAAAAAAATTATAGATCATTTTGTCTTATATTATAGTCATTTCTGTGGTTAAACAGAATGGGGTAGAGAAGCCTAGGAGGCTAGTTGAGGCTTGACGCCAGAGGTTTTAGTCAGTGCAGGTCTGTTACCTGTCAGATAATTACATTTTTAAAGGTCTAACCCGAACATACTACTTGTTCTATTGTTCTGTTTAAGAAAGGGTCTCATGTATCTCAGTTTGTATGATATTGGGGATGAGACCCAGAGCTTTGTGTATTTTAGGCCAGCCTTCTACCAACTGCACTACATCCCAGCCCTCTGATTTATGACATATTTGGATACCACTTGTTTGTATCTAGACCATAAGAACCAAGATCGCCTTCATACTGTGTGGAAAATTACAAGTGAAGCCATTGATGAACTACATCGATCACTGGAGTCATGTCCTGGTGAGACAGCAGTGGCAGAAGATCCAGTTGGCTTGAAGGTGAACCAAGAAGACTAACAGTCGAGGGTATCCAACACCCCTGGAGAGAGACCATGGTGAAACTGCCAGCAGAGTGCCATGCCCATGTATTTTTTCTGAAGATAGATGCTTTAGTGGCTTCCCTGTAGTATTTCCTACTATTTTGTTGAACAGTGAAAATAGTAACAAAACCCTCTTTAAAAAGTCATAAGATTATAAATTGCTATAACAGTAAAGGGTCCACGTATTGAGTTTTGTTAGGTGCTCTAGGATGCAAAAGAATTGTTATGTTTAATGAACTACTTGGGGCATCATATATATATAACAAATATATTATGTATATATAACAAAAGTGACTAAGGTGGAGATAAAGAGTGGACTGCAGTATACCATAGACCGTATACAAAGTACAAAAGGAACTCAAGGAAAACATCATTTGAGTCAGTATTTGTTGACTGACTGCTTTATACCTTCAAAAGATGGCGAATCTTTAGAGAGCTAAGAGGATAAAAACATCTTTAGAGAAATGGTGGTTAGGGAGGAGATGCAGACATTGGTATTAAGTGATGGCCAGGCATCCTCACTACCTGAGCTGGGAGAAACATGATGCTACTGAGTAGGGAGAATCCCTTGCTGTTGGAGCCTAGCATTGGCAAAATAACTTACATTTAAATAGCTGAACATACATTGTGCAGTTAAGATAGAATTCTGAGCAGGACTGTTTTATAAAAATTACTTTTCTCAGAGTATAAAGTAAACTGCAATGCAAAAAGACTAGAAGGAAGTCACTAAGTCAAAGGATATTGAAATTTATGAGTAGCAATCCAGACTGGGATATTGGGTAGAGAGGAGAATCAGATTTAAGAGATAACCAGGAAAAAACAGAATGGCTAGTAAAAGTTGCATGACAGAGGTTTGATTGCATTCAGTAGAAACTGACTTCTAATCAAGGAGACAAACTTGGACTTTTAATGAGGATAGAGACATGGATGGGAGTATCCTAATAGAAATGCTGCACATTAGCCATAAACCAAGGCTTGAGCTTGGGTGGACAGGTGAACAAGTAGTCCATGACAGCAGGTAGATAGACAACAGTTAGATGGATAACCTGTACAAAATGAGTAGAGTGAAGTCATAACCTCAGGAATTATACTGACATTTGACTCTTTTTCCAGGTCCCTTTGCTGTTGCACCAGAAGCAGGCATTAGCCTGGTTACTGTGGCGGGAAGGTCAGAAGCCACAAGGGGGGATTCTGGGTAAGTGTGGTATTATTATAAGAGCCAGCTATTATGTCAAGTGTACTGTTTTTTTTTTTATTTTTATTTTTATATATAATGCTGTTGCAAATCTGAGGAAGGCACTATGATTTTCCATTTTACAAATAGGGAAACTAAAGTGTAGAAATTTTAAGCAACTTGCTCAAAAATGCATAACTAGCAAAAGGGGTGTTGGTAGCAAGTAGTAGTGACTAATGGGCTGACTAGCAGAGGGACTAGCAGAGGGTTTGTTCTGTGGTGGTCCCCATAACCTCGGGGAGCTGTGGAATGAGGCTGGAGACCACAGTGCAGGAACAGTGGCAACAGCCACATCACAAACTGGTCATGACTCTCTGTGTTCAAGGAAACTAAGGCCACCCCAACACCAGCTGAATCTACCCCAGGCTCAGTGATTTGCAGTAGGACTCACAGCATTTGGTTCCTCTCACAGCTGTGAATTATATACAGATCAAAATCAACAAAAGGCTCATGAAGAAAAATCCAGGGGGACATTAGGCATAAGCTCTGGATTCTTCTCTCAGCAGAGTCACATGGGTCACATTTAGCTGCTTAGTAGTAAATTGTGGGATGTTTCCAACCATAGAAGTATTCAGTGCACAAGAGTTTTTATAGGGAGCTGGTCACATAGCCTGGTAGGTACCAAAATTCCATACTCCCAGAAGGAAAGGGTATTCAGTATAAACCACATTGTTTATACAAATGGTGCAGCAAAGTGAGTCACTCTTACCAGTTCTGAAATGTGAAAACCCTCCCTGAATGTAAATTTCCACAGGGTAGCTAAGGCCTTATGGTGTAAGCAGCTTTTTAAGGGTTAGTGGACAGGCCTGCTATGCTGAACCTTGCATAGTGGCAGGGGCAGAATTTGAATCATAGCCTATGCTCTTATGTTTTATTTCTGCTTTACCAGAATGAATATTTTGAGTGACTATACCAGCTTAATGGCTGAGCCTGAATGCCATGCTCTAATAAAATGGAGAAATAGTGTGGTAAAGGGAATGAAGAACAAGCTTGACAAGCTCAGTGGCTGGCACAGGGACAGTGTTCAAGAAGTGTTCATTTATGAGCTTCTTTAATTATCAAGTAAGGGCATGGAGGACTTTCAACAACTCTAGAAGTGTGGTGGCACCAGTAAAGTAGGTGATAGGATATGTTTACTAGATGTTTTTGCTTTTGGAAATAACAGATAAAAGACCAGGCATGGTCATCAAATGAAATAATCTACTGTTAGATAAATAATAGTGTAACACGGAGACCTAATTATAAGAGTTAACTATCACTGTAATAAATGTCTGGCCTGAGTCTTCAAACAAATAGCAAGAGATCATCTTCGTAAAAAAATTAAGAATTCACTGGGGTAGGTAACTGGAGTGGCCCTGGCAGTGTCTACCAGAGAAGTCTTCTCTTGAAGTCATGTTGATTCTTTGACCAACATAATTCTTTCTTTTAACTGGGTCTTTATTTTCTAGCGGATGACATGGGCTTAGGAAAAACTCTGACAATGATTGCACTCATCCTGACCAAGAAGAATCAAGAGAAAAGCAAGGAAAAGGACAAAGCCGTGACTGTGACGTGGCTTTCCAAGGATGGTAGATATAAGCACCTACTACCATTTCCAACCTCATTTGAGCAGCAGAGGGGAAATTTTTGTGCTACAAAGGAGACCTTTGGTCATGTTTAATCTACTAGAAAACTAGAATTGGATTATTTTCTAGTGTTATTTCTGATGCTGAACATGCTAATTATTTTTTCCCTTTTAATTAAACTTTGCTTGATCTCTGATTAGAAAAACAATTCTGGAGTTAGGTGAGGCTCTAGGAGACTTCATTCAAGCATAGTAACTTCAGTAACTTTGTGCTAATGATGTTGGAGATAAATACCAGGGTAGACCCAAATTAATGTATTTTTTTTTTAAGGAGATCTGTTAGGAACTCACATTTTAACATTTGTAGTGAAACTGATTTCCATGTTTCTGAAATTCCAGAGATTTCTAGACCATAGGCAATTTTAGCCTTATCTCAGCTGTTTTTAAAATGTAGCTTCATCCATACTTTTATATATTTTCTATAAGTATCATGCAAATTACTATATACAGAAGCGCAGCTTCTCCTGTGATGGTTATGTGGGTAGATGTTTGTGTTTGTGGCTGTCTGCTCTCAGGGCCTGTGATGAGCATTGCTGCAGCTGGGCCCTTCGCCCTGCATGGAGCAGCACATGTACCTACATGGGGATGAGGGACACTGGTACTGAGTATTCTGTTACTAAATGGTACTATATAAAGTGCACCACATAATGTGCAATGCCCAAGGAGGGTAGAAGAGGGTTTTGGATGTCCAGGTACTGGAGTTAATGGATAGTTGTTAACTGCCATATAGTTGCTGAAAACTGAAACTGAGTCCTGTAAAAGCATCCAGTGCTCTTAATACTGAACCATGTCTCCAGCCCCTTGGAAGAGGGTTTTTATACTTATATATTAGCTCTAATTAACACATAGTAATTTTTACTTATATTTTACTTGGAAGTACATGAAATTATAATTTTCTGGAAAAAAATACTGATATTAATCAGTAATGAGTCATTATTAACCTGTAAATGAGTCAGCTAAGGAGGCGTAAGAAATGTTCTGGCTTCTGCCTCTGGCCACTGTGGAAGGCCATTGTTGTTTAAACTGGGTCATGCACTGCCCACTTCCCTCCCCATCTTTAGACTCACTCTGACACTTTTATAGGAGAAAATAAATGATGAGATGTTTTGGTTTAAAAGACCATCTCTTTCATTTCTTATTCTGTTTGCTCTGTGAAGTAATAAAACAACAGTTCAAATACTGATTGAAGGCTCAGCAGTTAAGAGCACTGACTGCTCTTGCAGAGGACCCAAGTTCGATTCCCAGCACCTATGTGGTGGCTACCAACCGTCCTTAACTCCAGTTCCAGGGGAATCCGAAGCCCTCTTCTTACCTCCGTGGCATTGCACAACATGGGTATAGTCACATACATGTAGGCAATGCACTCGTACACATAAAATATTTAATTTTTTTTAAATTAAAAAAATAATAAAATTAAAAAAAATTGATTGAAGGAATAAAGCCATTCAAGAGAAAGTGGTAATACCCTAAAGAAGTTAAAGGTTGCCTAATGAGTATAACTAGTGATTATTTCCCCCTCAAGACTCCTCTGACTTTACTTCCCTTGGAACACTAATTGTCTGCCCGGCTTCCCTCATCCATCACTGGAAGAATGAGGTAGAGAAACGTGTGAGCAGCAAACTCAGAGTCTACCTCTACCATGGGCCAAACCGGAATCGGCATGCAAAAGTGTAAGTTAGAAGTGCTTGGAGGCATCCATAACTCAGCTAAGGAGTCCTGTAGCTTTTCCTGTTTGCCTGTTTCTTCCCTTAGTCAGACTAATCATTATGTGTGGAGACCTAGGCAGATTTTCATTCTTGTCACCAAACAGCTTTAGCACTCTGTACTAAGATTTATCTTGAGATCCATTGGCTTTACTTTGCTGTGTGCTGGTGGTCACTTTCCTGCAAAAGCTGCCATGTGAGAAGCCTGCAATGCCTGAGTTGTCCACCAGGTGGCAGCAGCAGCCCTGATAAATGAGGAGCTGTCAAGGTAGTCTGTCAGGTTCTGAGTCTAGAACTCACATTCTTATTCTCTGAGTGTCAAAGGAACCATCCTAGTCTTAAAAGTCATCCTGGCCAGGTGTGGTGGTGCACACCTTTAATCCCAGCACTTGGGAGGCAGAGGCAGGCGGATCTCTGTGTCAAGGCCAGCCTGGTCTACATAGTGAGTTCCAGGACAGATGGGGCTACAGGGAGACCCTGTCTCAAAAAAAAAAAAAAAAAAAAAAAAAAAAGACCGAAAACAAGGCATCCTGATAACATTCTTCCGTTTAGTTGCTATAGGCTGTGTGTATGTATATATTTTTATGGCTGTATTTTTTATATATAAACTATTTCAACAAGTTTTAGATTTAAGAGTTTAGGATGCAGAATAGTTAGAACCTACTTAAAATTCCTGAAGGAGGATGCTTGGGAGGGAGAAAAGTTACCCTAGATGTAATCTTAATCTTTGCTTTTTGGTTTTTGGAGGTTGTTGTTTGTCTCCAGGGCTAAGGATTGAACTTAGAGCCTTGAGCATGCTGGGTGAGCACTCTCCCACCGAGCCACATTCAGGCCTGTCTTTTGGTTTAAAGGAACTGTTTTCTGTTTCTGTTTTAGTTACTTTTTTTTTGCTGTAATAAAACACCACTTTTGGAAGAAAGTATATTTTGGCTTACGAAGGATCCGAGTCCTCCATGGTGGGGAGGCTTCGCAGCAGCTGTGAGCTCACAAACTGGAAGTGGGGCAGGGCTATGAACTCAAAGCCTGCCCAATGACATGCTTCCTCCAGCAAGGCCACACCTCCTAAAGATTTCATGACCTCCCCCAAACAGCGCCACCAAGTGGGGACCAAGTATTTAAACACTTGAGCCTATTTGGGATATTTTTTATTCAAAACACCACAGTTCCTAATTTGTGATGTGAGGATCCAAGGTGAATACTTGGTGCTTAATTATGGATGAGAGAACCTTGTTCCTCTCCTAAGTAATCTCTTATATATTTTATAGCCTACAGAACAGGATGAGTGTCTTCTGGGGCTGAAGTGCAAGATTGACCTTAACTCTTAAAAATATACCTGCTCTCATGACAGGGAGTCACTTTAAAAGTAAGATATCAATGCAGTAGTGGCAGAACTGTAGTCGTCTGATGCCTGCCTTTGCTCTGAGTCTTTATTTAGAAGTAGATTGGAGTTCACGTGATTTGCTCTTGGAGCATAACTGACTTGGAATTCAGAATGTGCCAGTCACATGGGAGTCATTCTCAGTTATACTTCTTTATATGTGCTACTCATGCATTTGTGGATGGTGCTACCTCTGAATTAGGCATATCATTTTACCAAAAGAATTTATTGATGTCTCTCAGGTGCACAATATTGGACTTCATTGGAATAAGATTTGTGCCTTTAATAAGAACTTGTATGTGTAAATAATGTAGGAAAGGTAAACTGAATGCTTACAGCATATTCTTCTGCCCAAAACTAAATTAATGACTTTTTACAAAGCTATTATAAAGTGGTGGAGAGAAAGTACCATTGGAGTGGGATTAACAGTGCTTTGAAGGTATTTTATTAAACACAGTGTCCAATCCTGTCCCAGGTCATGTCAAAGTTTGAATGACTACAGCTGGAGATTTTCCTTTCTGACTCACTGGGTGGAAGAGGGCTGTTTTAGCTATAATGAGCAGACTGTAAAAGTGATTGAGATTGGTAAGAGCCAGGTGGTAAAATTTAGTTTTACAAACATGGATTTTGTGTGTGTGTGTATGTGTGTGTATACACATGTATACGTGTACCAAGGACATGTTAGTCAATTCTGCTAACCTTCCCATCCTAGGTGCTTGTTTTGCTTTTGCAGTATTGGGAATTGAACCCAGGGCCTTGAGCATTCTAGGCAAGCCCCCTACCACTGAGCTATATACTCAGCTCTCTAGGCATTTATATATTTATTAGAAGTCAACTCTACCTCTTCGGAAAGTCTTCAGAAGGATTGGTTACACTTTGCTTTGTGTTATGTCCATACAGACTCTCTACATATGACATTGTGATTACTACCTATAGTCTTCTGGCCAAGGAGATTCCCACAACGAAGCAAGAAGGAGAGGTCCCAGGTGCAAATCTCAATGTGGAGGTGAGGCTTGGTGGGGATACCAGGGAAGCTAGAGCCACACATAGTCTAGCAGTAGTCATTACAACCTCAGAGATAGCAAAGGTATCTTCTTGCAAGATGAAGAATGCTCCAAATAGTCCACCTTGTGGAAGTGACTCATTCTTTCCATTTGTCTTTCTTCTAGACATGCACCTTAGTAATAAATGAATACTTGGCACAAAGTTCAGCTGTGTTTTAGAAGTAAAGAAACCTGCACTATAATTGTGATAGTAATAATCATGCATGAATACAGAGTCTCACTTGTTATTTGTCTTAGAATATGTGGAGTATACTCTTCTGGTATTTTTTTTTATCTTTTGGAGACAGGGTCTCCCTTTAGCCCCAGCTGGCCTGAATTCACAAAGATCCACCTGCCTCTGCCTCCCAAGTACTGGGATTAAAGTCATGTGCCATCACACCTGGCTTCTTGTGGTATTCTTTATATTTTATCTGCAGACTTGTATTTAGTACATGAATCTGTTATTCCCTCCCTCTCCTCTACCTCCCAGAAAGGGCCTTGCAAATATTAGGGCTACAGATGGGATCAGAAGCTAACCTTGAAAAATTCTTGAGTGTTTGCAGGCAGATCCAGGGAATCTGTTTATGTAATGTAGGGGCTTTAGTGTATAATTTTTGTGGGTATTTCCATAGATTTCTCTATTTGATGATCTCTAGAGTACTTCTCCAGCTCATGACCAACCTTAGATTCCTCGGTGCTTCTCCATGGCTCTTGAGATAAATCCCAAATTCCTTTACATAATGCATCCAGTATTTTATGATCCTGCCTTGCCTCTGTCCCTCATCTCTCCTCACCTGCTCCCTCCCTGTGGCACCTCACACTCAGTCATGCCATCATACCTTCCATCCTCTGGTCACACATTCGTTCGCCCCTGAATACAGTGCTTTGGCACCACTCCTTTTCCTAGGTAAATTTCTTTCTAGCCTTTTGCAGAAAACTTTCTGTACTGCTCCCTACCCACCATTTAGATGAGTGCCTCTCCTAGCACTTTGTGTTTACGTAGTTGTAGTGCTCCGTGTACTCAGCAGATGTGGGGGCTATTTACGGAATCAGTGATGAAGCAGTACACAAGTAGCTAGATTTCTTCTGTCCTGTACTGAGTGACTTTCTGCATGTAGCTCATGTTGTGATTAAGTTTTTCACTTTTGCTAGAGTTTGAGCTCCTTGAGGATAGGAACTGTTCTTTATGTTTGGCTTAGCAGCTTACAAGTTAAAGTTATAATAGTTCAGTAAATTTTAATTTTTTTATAAATATTTTATTATTTTTATTCTATGAGTAGGAGTATGTTGCCTGCATATATGTAAGTGTATCTGTGTCATGCAGTGGCCACGGAGATCAGAAGAGGGTGTCAACTTCCCCTGGAACTGGAATTACAGACAGTTGTTAGCTACCATGTAGGTGCTGAAAATTGAACCTGGGTCCTTTGCAAGAGCAGGTGGTGCTCTTAACCACTGAGCCATCTCTCCAGCCCCAAATCTTAGTAAATTTTTAATAACTTGAGTAACTATGTTTCTGAGTGAGTTTGCAGCCTTATATGTAGTGTATTCCTGGTCAAATGTTATTGATGCCATTGCTGAATGTGGGTTGAAAGAATAAATGAAAACTCAAATTATGAAACATTTCACTCTTAAGCATTTTAAGTTCAAAGACTGAGACTTAAGTGACCTGTATATTTGAACTTGTTGAACAGGTTCTGCTCTTGGTTTCTCAGCTGATTCAGTTCAGTGGATCTAAGCAAATTAGAGGTTGGAGTGGGTCCCCAGCACTTGTTGATGTGCCCTTGGCCCTAGAGCACGTACATATTCCATACTGCTGTTGGCTAGCACTCATGTTTTTTTCCAGGGCATCTCTGCACCATTGCTTCAAATTGTCTGGGCCCGAATCATACTGGATGAAGCTCACAATGTGAAGAACCCTCGAATACAGACATCCATTGCTGTGTGTAAGCTACAAGCCCAAGCCCGGTGGGCTGTCACTGGAACCCCCATTCAGAACAACTTGTTGGATATGTATTCACTGCTGAAGTGAGTAAACTCTTTCATGTGCATGTGAACCCTGTATGAAACCCATAACCCTTCATCATTATTTCATGTCTTACAATAAAGCTGTGGTAAATCTGGATTATCTTGTGTAGCAGAGCAAACTTTACAGGCAAAAGAATGAATTTTTTTTTTTTGTCTTTTTGAGACAGGGTCTCCTTGTAGCCCCAGCTGACCTGGAACTCACTATGTAAACCAGGCTGGCCTTGACTCACAAAGATCTACCTGCCTCTGCTCGGATTAAAGGCGTGCACCACCAAGCCTGGCTAAGAATGAATATTTATGAAAAATATTGTTGATTGGATGGCTGATATCCAGACTTTGTTTATGCAAAAATATAGAGCAGATTGAATTAAAAGAGGTTAAAGTCATCTTTCTTCAATCCAGTAACTGTTCGGGAGTACTTTGCTTTAAAATATGTGGAGTGGGGGCAGAATTGGAATTTATTTGAGGCAAATAGAAAAGCAGGGTTTTTTTTTTATTATTTTATGTATTATTTTTATTTTATGTATATGAGTATATTGCCTGCATGTGTGTAAGTGCACCCATGTCGTGCATTGCCTGTGGAGTTCAGAATAGTGTTTGATCCCCTGGAACTGGAGTTAGAGATGGTTGTTAGCTACCATGTGGGTGCTGGGAACTGAACCCAGATCCTCTGCAACAGCAGCCAGTGCTCTTAACCACTGAGCTATCATCTCTCCAGTCCCCAAGAGGGCTGATTTTAAAATGCTGTCTTTTATTCAAGTCAACCCATAAAAGGCTGTGAAATTTCTTTGCTAGTGTTTGAAGCTTCAGTAATAAATTCTAGCTATTTGTTGTATGTCCTGTTGTGACTGTTATACGTTGTTCATGGGATGTGATTACTGACTTGAGTCCTTTTGGCTTGTCTAGCTGACATTTGCTATGAAATTTATTTATTTATTTATTGTCTTTTTGAAGCAGGGTCTCCCTGTGGCCCCTGTTGTCCTAGAATTCACTTTGTAGACCAGGCTGGCCTTGAACTCAGAGAGATCCGCCTGCCTCTGCGTCCCAAATGCTGGGATTACAGGCATGCGCCACCACGCCTGGCATGATGGATTGACAGACAACAGAAATTATGGTTTGGTTTCATTGTACGCCTTACTCTGAACATTTATTCCATTCCTCATACTTCTTCCCTGCTCTGTGCCCTTCCTTTCCCTATAAAAGATTTCTCCGCTGTTCTCCATTTGACGAGTTTAGTCTTTGGAAAAGTCAGGTTGACAATGGTTCAAAGAAAGGAGGGGAGCGGCTAAGCATCTTAACCAAGAGCCTTTTGCTGAGGAGAACAAAAGACCAACTGGATTCCACTGGCAAACCTTTGGTAATCAGATTTATACCTGTCCCTGGGGTGGCCAGGGAAGGAGTGTGACCATATCCTTGGGTTAAACAGCCATCTGCTGTGCTTTAGGAGCCCCTGCATCTCCCATTTCCTTGTGAGGAAACCTCAAGGCTGCAGTCCTGTTGGCGCTGTGTGTTAGCACAGTCCTATTGCTAGGAGGGATGGAAGTTGCTTTCCCAGGGTTGGCTAGAGTTCAGTGTCATTCTGAGAATTTGCTCTGAAGTATTCAGTTAATTCGCACTGCTTTATACCGGCTTCTTTTCTTATAGGTGGTGCTGCCCCAGCGTAAATTTCAGCTGCACCATTTAAAGCTTTCTGAAGATGAGGAGACTGTTTACAATGTCTTTTTTGTAAGATCAAGGTATATGCAGTGAAGAAGCACCTTCTCTCGTGTATTGCTTTATTTCTCTCTTGGCTTGGGAGTGAAATGAGGGTCATATTTCCTTAGGTTTCACTTATAGTTAAATCTCTATGTTATCCCCACCTTCACCCCAAACAAAAATAACAAAACACCAAACCCAAACTTCATAGTCCTTTTTTTGTTCCTTTTTTTCACCTTCCCCTCCTTACTCCATCTGTCTTAGACACATTGAAGGCAAAATTTGGACCTTACTCTTAATTGGCTTCTGTACATAGAGATCAGAGTATGGAATCTCTCTGTTCCTTTTAGGGCTGTTGGAAAATGAATTTCTTAGATCTTTCAGAAAGAAAAAAAAAAAAGCTACAGGGACTGGAGAGATGGCTCAGTGGTTAACAGCACTGGCTACTCTTGCAGAGGACCCAGATTAGGCTCCCAGCACCCACGTGGTGGATGACAACTATCTATAACTCCAGTTCCAGGGGCTCTGACCCCCTTTTCTGGCCTCCAGGAGCATTGTTTGCATGTGGTGGACTTAAATACATGCAGGCAAAACACTCAACTGACATAAAATTTTTTTAAAACTGCTTTGTTTATTCTTTCCATTTTCTCTAAACCGCTTGTTACTTCCTGAATTCCAGATTTGCTTCCTTCCACTTGGTGCTTTTAATTTCCAATGTAAATATGCTTTTTGTCTTTTTATACCTTATGCATATTAGCTTATTTTTAAAAGTTTTTGTTTTATAAATGACAATTATTATCGCATTACCTTTGGTCATTGTTTACTGGGCATCATTTAACAAGTCCACTTCTATAACTTGCCCAGGTCCCACTCTAAGCACAGTTTAAGCAGTGACTACTATAACCTGTAAGGTCTTAGTGGCCATAGTGTATGTTTTTTGTTTTTTGTTGTTATTGTTTTAACCTGAGACAGGTCAGCACTACAGTCCTATCTAAAAAGACATGAAAGTAGAGGCAGCCATCCTGGAAGAAGCCCTGATAATCCATTCAGCAGAGGTAAGTCAGGGGACATCTGAATATATAACACCTCTGAACTGTCCTTTACATAAGGCCTACTGATCTAAATTTCCTTTTATTTTCTGCATTATTAAAATATAGGAAGGCTGGGGCTGGAGAGATGGCCTAGAGGTTAAGAGCACTGGCTGCTGTTACAGAGGATCTGAGTTTAAATCCCAGCCCCTACACGGTGGCTAATAGCTGTCTATAACTCTAGTTCCAAGGGATCTGACACCCTCTTCTGAATGAATGAATGAATGAATGAATGAATGAATAAATAAATAAAATAAATGTAATGAATTATTTTCATTGGAGGGGAGGGAATGGAGGGTGGATTTGATCTAACACATTGTACTCATGCATAAACATTAAAATACATTTGTAAATTGAAAATACAAATAAAATTTTAAATGTAAAAGATAAAGT